GGTGGAAGGCGGCGTCTGACCATGCAATGCCAGGTGACTGGGCCAGCCTGGGTAGGAGGCAGGAGGGGAGGAGAAAGAGACACAGATGAGAGGCAGGAGTGGCCAAAGCCACAGGGTCTGGGGTCAGCTCTGGAGGTTGGCTGGGCATGGTGACCAGCACCTGTCACTCTGGCACAGGGGAGGTGGTCTCAGGAGGAAATGAGTTTAAGGTCATCCTCGGCCAACCTGGGTTACCTGAGACCCCGTCTCTGCCAGTAATGGGGAGCCATGGAGAGGATGTGAGCAGGGGAGGGCACTGTCCCTGGTGTCCTGAGCTCTCCAGGCCATCTTCTGCTCTGCAGACGCCGCAACCAGCTGTCCCTGAGGGCTGCCTGGAAGTCAGGCCTGGTGCTCTGGTGAAGCACTTGGTGCGTGTGCACATGTTGTCCTGCGCGTGCCAGCCTCAGAACCGGAAGACCATGTCCATAGGCAAGCCGCTGAACCTCTCCGGGGCTGCCTACAACTTGGTTGTACTCACCAGGACTCGTTTTGGCCGCAGCCCCTACCAGATGTGGCACCTTCCTGCCCAAGAACTCACAGGTGCCTGGGGCCCAGGGGCAGAACATGAGGGCGGCGGGTTCCTTCGTCATGCACAAAAGAATGAGGTTAAGACAGTGTCCAAGTGAAAGGCGCATCAAAACTTCAGTCATTGAGATCTATGTTTAATGCAGGACTTTAAAACACACAAACTAGCCAAGCGTTGGTGGTGCACGTCTTTAATCCCGGCACTTGGGAGGCAGAGGCAGGTGGATCTCTGTGAGTTTGAGACCAGCCTGATATCCAGAGCGAGTGCCAGGACAGCCAGGGCTACACAGAGAAACCCTGTCTCAAAAAAACAAAAACAAGAACAAAAGACCAGAATCTTATTTGGAAACATGTGGCACCTGTAAAGGATTATCCTGGCATACAGTTGATGCTCAATAAATGCTAGTTGACTCCTCAGAATTAGAGGAGGAGTGTGGGTCTGTGATTCTCACCGACATGCTGGTGACCCTTCGTTCCCATGGACACCCGGGGCTCCTTCCAGAGATGAGAACCTTGAATGTCAGCGTGGAAGGCAACGTGACATCCATGCACTGGGCGGCCCAGGCTCCAGACACCACCTACTGCCTTGAGTGGCAGGCACGGGGCCAGGGCAGGAACCACACCCACTGTACCCTGATTGCACCAGAAGATGAGGACACAGCTGGGATGGGTATGTCACTCTCAGATAAATATGCTCTGTGATAATACATGGCTAGCTCCAACCTCCAGGGTCTGTGCAGACAGGGTGTCTGAAGCCCAGAGAGGTAGCTTCACTTACTCATAGTCACACAGCAGCTGGTCCAGGAAGAGGCTAGAACCCTGATGCTTGGCACCTGCAGCTTTGGCTGGGTTCCTGGGCTGCTCCCTGGGCAGGTCACACCCTGGGCATAATGAATCTCACATGCTATGGTGATTTAAACACTCCCATGTGCCAGGGAAGGTGACAAGTCACAGCTGCTAGTGGTGAGTCAATGAGGGCTGGAGGAGCCGGATGGTCCTGGCAGTGTCCTGTTCTGAGACTTTCTGCTCTGAGCTTGGAGAGGCTGAAGTAGTGGGATGAGGGATCCAGAAGAGGCATACGGGCTTTGAAGCACCAGGAGGAGTTTTCTGGGCAGTCGGTCCCAGAAGACAGCACAACCAGCACAGACTGACCGCTAAGGGCGACCCCACCCTGCTGGTCCTTCCAGTGACCCACAGCTGGAGCTCAGAGCCTGCGCTGGACCAGGAGGAATGTTACCGCGTCACCATCTTCGCCTCCAAGGACCCAGAGAACCCGGTGCTGTGGTACACTGCCCTGTCCAGTTACTACTTTGGGGGTAATGGTGAGTAGCTCTCATCTGTGGGTTTGTGTCCTTGGTGACGTTGGAGTGTTAGGTGACACCAGGGCAGATGGGTGTGGGTGGATCCATGCCAGTGGGTGTGGCCAAGGCTACACTTAAACCGGTGTTGTAGTTAGGAAGGTAGGCGGGGCCAGGGCAGTGGGTGGGGTCATCTGGTGGGCGTGCCCACCGCGGAGGAGGCGGGGCACGGTGGGCGGTCCGAGGTGGGCGGGGCCTCCCCTGGGGCAGCCTCACAGCTGACGGACAGGTTTTGTGCAGCCTCGGCAGCTGGGACCCCGAGCCACGTGTGGGTGAGGAACCACAGCAGAAACGCCGTGTCCGTGGAGTGGGCGCCGTCGCGGCTGAGCGCCTGCCCGGGGGTCCTGACGCGATATGTCGTGCGCTGCGAGGCTGAGGACAGCGAGTGGGCGTCAGGTGGGTGGTGGCGTGGGCGGGAACCGGCTGTGAGACCCGGGCGAGGCAGGGCACACCCCCAACCCTCCCCAGCCAACTGGAGGCCGAGAATTTAAACATGCGAGCCTGTGAGGGCCATTTTCATTTTTTACACGTTTTAACTACGTATTTATTGATTTGTTTACTGTGTATGACAACGTGGTGTCCACGGAGCATGCGTGGGCCAGAGGACAGCTTGTGGGTCTTGCCCTGGGGTCGAACTTTCATCAGGTCGGGCAGTTAAGGCCTTCAGGGAGGACTTATCCAGCCTGCCTGGCTTTTTTATTTTTTGAGTCTCTGTATCCCAGGCTGGCCTGAAACCTACAGCAATCCTCCTGTCTCAGCTTCCCCAGGAAATAGAGGTGAAACCAGGGCGTGCACTGAGCCAACACCCTGTCCTCCGTGACTATTTTGCTACCTCTTAAAGCTCTCGTTTGTCGGTGGTGGTTTTGAGTGTACGGGTATTGCCTGCATTTGTGTCTGATCCCCATGCGTGTGCCTGGTGGCCGCAGATGCTGTCGGGACGGGAAATGGAGTCACCGACAATCGTGAGCTGCCTTGTGGGTGCTGGGAACCGCACCAGGTTCTGATCTCACCCTCAAGCCAAGCTTGGACCCCACAGAGCTGACCCGAGTGTCAGGCTCGCCCCACGGGCCATGAAAGAATCCCTAACCTACGCTGCCTCCCTCCAACAGAGTGGCTCTTGCCACCCACAAAGACCCAAGTGACACTTCAGGGACTGCGCAGTGGCGTGGTGTACAAGGTACAGGTGCGAGCCGACACTGCGCGGCTCCTAGGCTCCTGGAGCCGCCCACAGCGCTTCAGCTTTGGTGAGTGGGACAGCTGCCAGCTGCTAACCCAGCGTGCACTTTGCGGCTCTTCCCATAATGACCTCCGCATCCCCGCGGGGGCAAGGATTCCCTCTGTGGCTTTCCATGGGCCTCAACAGAAAGGACCCGTTGGAATTCCTCTTCTCTGGCCTGCCTGCCTGCAATATTTTATTTCCCCACACACACTTGTCAAACTCCTATTCATCCTTCAAAACCAGGCTGTAAAGTTCTCTCCTCTAGGAAGGTCTCCCTACCTTTCTCTGAGCCACAGTGCCAGAGGAGCCTTGACTCCTTGGGTTTCTCTGTGTGGGTCAAGCTGTGTCTTCCCCGGCCAGGAGGCTCCTGAGGGGTGGGAAGGGGGGAATGGGAGCACCTCCCTCAAGTTGTGCCGCCCCCAGAGGTGCAGATTTCCCGTTTATCCATCATTTTTGCGTCTCTGGGGAGCTTCGCCAGCGTCCTCCTCATGGGCAGCCTCGGATACATCGGTTTGACCAGGTAACTCGGGCTAGGTCACTGTGGAGTGCAAAGTGTGTATCTGCTCTGGCCTTATAGACGGGAAACTAGGGCTCAGGGGGTCGGGAACCGGATCGCGGGGCAGAAATGGGGCCGAACTTGAGTGTGCGGGACTCGGTCCCCACCACACCTTCCACAGCATAACGGGAAGGAAAGGAAAACTCAGAAGTCCCCTCTGACGTGCCGTCTTCGTTCCCAGAGCGGCCTGGCGCTTGTGCCCGCCCCTGCCCACACCGCGTGCCAGCACAGCTGTGGAGTTCCCTGGCAGCCAGGGCGAGCAGGTACGTTTTCAGCTCCCTACTGTTTGATGCCATGCGTGCAGCGGGTAGTGGATGTGGTCCAGGACAGCTCACCCAGACCATCAGGGCGGGCTGGAATCTTCTAGAGTCCTATTACGGAAGCAGAACTTAAATGGCTTCGACAGAAGGGGGACTTGAAACGCAAACGCAGGGCTCTGCTCCTCTCTGTCCTGGCCCCGCCCACACACCGCTCCTCTCTGTCTAGCTCCGCCCACAACCGCTCCTCTCTGTCCTAGCTCCGCCCACACATCGCTCCTCTCTGTCCTGGCCCCGCCCACACACCGCTCCTCTCTGTCCTAGCTCCGCCCACACACCACTCCTCTCTGTCCTAGCTCCGCCCACACACCGCTCCCCCCTCCCTCTGTCCCGGCCCCGCCCTCACCCCGCCCCGCACCCACACCGCTCCTCCCTGTCCCCCGCTCTGTCCATCCGTCAAGGCTTGGCAGTGGCGCAGCCCGGAGGACTTCCCGGAGGGGTTGTGCCCGCGAGAGACGCTGGTGGTGGAGAAGGCCCGGGACGCCGATGACGGGACAGAGCCACCCCAGGCCGCCCCAGCGCCCGCCCCGGACACCGCGCGGTCCTTGGAGGCCGAGAGACGGGAGAAGGGACGCTCGGAGGCCCAGGGCCTGGGCCTGGAGCACGAGAAACTGCCGCTGCTCCAGGGGGCTGTGGCCCGGGGAGCCTCCGCTCTGGGCGACCTTTGGTGGACCCAGAAGGCTGAGGAGCCAGGGCCACCCCCGCGGCCTTCGGGGCAAGAGGACCGCCGGGTGTAGGCGACACCGACCGCTTCCTCGGCCCCTGAGCCGCAGCCGCTGGTCCGCGAAGGCTGCCCGCTTCGTAGGTGTGGACACTGAGGCTCCAAGGGGAGCACCTTCCCGGAGGCCAGCAGGCCTCAGCTGAGAGCCTCTTCCTTCCTTGTGCTCGCCACGCCTGTAGCCACACAGCCTGCCCCGGGACCCAGGAACGGCCGAGCAGGGCAGGAACTGCCCAGGCGGCTGGGCTTGATGTCCTGGGCAAGGCTGGGCCGGATCACTCGTCCTTTGGGGTCCTTTAGTCTGAGGGGACCTGGTCACAGGCTCAGCTTGCTCCGTGTGCTGAGCTGGGTCCAATCCAGGAGCGGCGGGAGCAGGGGCGGCGTGGCATAGACGCCTGCGGATCAGGGTCCCCGCGGGAGCACTGCACGCCTGCGGATCAGGGTCCCCGCGGGAGCACAGGACGCCTGCGGATCAGGGTCCCCGCGGGAGCACAGGACGCCTGCGGATCAGGGTCCCCGCGGGAGCACAGGACGCCTGCGGATCAGGGTCCCCGCGGGAGCACAGGACGCCTGCGGATCAGGGTCCCCGCGGGAGCACTAAACCTCTGCGGATCAGGATGCCCGCGGGAGCACAGGACGCCTGCGGATCAGGGTCCCCGCGGAAGCACAGGACGCCTGCGGATCAGGGTCCCCGCGGGCGCACTGAGCACTAAATAAACGGTTGAAGCGGCCTCCCCGTGCACTTCCGTCATCCCAGCGCCAGGGAGGCCGCGCAGGACTGGGCAGCGACCTCCGGGGCAGCCTGGGCTACCTGCGTCTGTGTCTGCAGGGCAGTGGGAAGGACAGTTGAGGCGGCCGAGCTCGTGTGCGCGTCCTTAGCTTCTCACGCGGCCGCCAGGGGGCAGCAGCGGCGCGCGGCCGGGAGCAGTGAGCAGCGTCAGCGCCGGCTTCGCTCCGAGTGGCAGGGCCCGGC